AGTGGAAGAGACATTTCAAAATATCGGTCAAAACTTTGGGGCTATAGTTCCCTAAAGCAGCTTGTTATTTCATTTACTCTACTTTTCTGCTGGCGCCTCTGAACCACAAAATACGTGTCGCCTAAGCAAATGTTGGTGTGCATCGTCACAAGTCTATCGGTTTTGCACTTGCACACATTGCTCACGGACATCCGGTCATCGCATGGGCCTAGTAGGCCCCATGCGCCCCCATTTAAATCTTCGACAAAGCCGCAATCCGTACGCCATAATTACATCTTGATTTGCCTCCCTGGGACACATATAGACCCCCAGCACACCATATAACCAGTCATACCTCTTTCCGGCGCAAGCATACTGTTTGCCTAGTCGTCGCCTGTATGGCGTATTTGATCTCTCATAAGCACACATGCCCGGATGCACAGGCAGTTTAGCAAACACTGTTTCCCCGAAACACTGAATTAACCTGAATTACAGGAATGCCGTAAACATTGCCTTGGCATAGGCAGTCCTTGGCAGGACAGTCCCGTCCGCTGGGCCAAATGGACCAGTGTAGAAGTACGGCGTTAAGATTATTGTTGTCTTTAAATCTCCGCACTGGTTAAAACAACAGGCCCTGGCGCAAGTACAGTATTGCAGACGCAAAACACCTGAAGGATCGTTCAAATATTAAATGTTGTGGAAAGGCCTGCGTTCCCTGGCTCCTTACCCGTTATGACAAAAGACTTGTTCAGTCCGCTTCAGTGTAACACGGAAGACATTCAGAATGTACTAAAGGTTATATGAGAGACGGCTATAATACAACTTGAATAACTGAGAACATGCGATCCTCTCAGAGGCGGAGGTGGGGAGGTTCAGAAACCAAAAGTAAATATTTGTCCCCACTCAGCCCTGACTTGTCGAAGTGGAAAGGTCGGAAACAAGAAGGTCCCCCAAATCGAAAGTCAGGGGAGGTGAATTGGATGAGGTTAGTCCTTGCTGAGAGAAGGTGCGTACAAGAGACTTTGCAAGCAGTCGCCGAGAGCTGTTTCCTGCTTGCCTGTATTGTGTGCGCCTCTATTCTGTCATAGAGCGTCTGCCCGTAACTAGTCAGCGAAGAAACTGCGTCGATTGGCTTCAAGCGCTTAAGGGCGTACGCAAACACGTGAGAGAATGGATCCCACTGGCGGATTTCCAGCTTATGCTCGTCAAGGTGGGCCCCAAGTTTCCGGCCATTATGACCAACATCAACGCAAGGGCAGTTAACACATGTAATGAGATAGACGACATTAGTTTACTGATCGTTGCTGTGCGGAGGGAAGACGCCCGTCAGTCGTTTCTGAAATTCTTGGCATGTAGGGCAGGGAGTAAATTTTTCGTGACACACTGTCTCTGCCATAGTCGGAACATTGTGGTTGTTTCGGGCGTCCACAATTTTCCACAAAGCAGGCTAAGTGTCCGGTGAGCTGGAAAAACCGATACATAGAAGTCAGTTCTTAAGTAAATCATCGTTTCTGTTGTATTGTTCTCACTCGTTATCTCTCTTATGAAGCGACAGGGCGCAGCTGAAAAGCAGTCGCGAAATGTTTTGGTACCAATAAATCATGCGGTTCTTGCCTACTTCAGTAAGGAAAGACCCAATTAAATAGGGTTCAGACGCAGCTTCTTTTATGGACAGCAAGGTGGTTGCTCTTGTAGTTAAGAATGATCTCGACGATAGAGCGTGCTCGGTAGACTAAATTCAGAGCAGGATTACAGTCAGGAGTTCTGCACAAGCCTCTGCACCGCACTTTCCGGTAATGGGGGATTTCAGCTGCTACCGACTTTTCGCCACTATGTAACTGCGGTCTTTTGGATTCAGACGCATCAGGGAAACTGCAAGAACAGCTCCGATCCACGATCACTGTCACCTTTTTGGAGCACCGAATACTACCTGATGAGGAATGAAGAAGGTCGACAGCATGGTATTTGCGTCAATATTGCTTGGAGAGCTTGTCATCACACACCGAGAGAAGGGCCGGCATCTGTTAGGAAACAGTAACCTCCCGAGGACCATGGAGTAGGAACGACAATGTCCAGAGTGGGCATGGAAAAAACTGGTGTCAAAGATTTGTAGTGTTTATAGTGGCCGCCTAGTATGACGTGTCACCCGCAACTCACGTAAAATCATGCCAACTTCACATCGTTTATTTTCGTTTTTATGGAAGGGAAGCGCCATCAAATCCTGCTTTTAGTTACGTGAATTGAAGGGAATAAATGGCGTACGCAAGACCTAGAGCAAACGCGGACAGATATTCCCTTGCTAAACCGGTGTCTAGGACCAGTGCAGAACAAAAATCATTGCATATTCACCTTCCAACGTTGCGGCACCCGTCAAGATTAAAGGTCTTCAACTACCATTTTGGATAACCGATTTTGTTTTGTTCAGTAGCCATTTTGGCGAAATCATGTGACAGGAACAACAGTAGTTCTTTCTATTGGAATGGCATGACTGAGAGGGATGATTGGTCATGAATAAACATCAAATCCCCGGCCCCGCCTTTTGCACTACTGCTGATGAGAAAACCCGACACTTTGACCGTCGTGACAGACGATGTCTGTTGTGGGACGGCACGGACATCAGTGAGCGCGGCGTGATCATGCAGCTGGGTGTGACGCCACCCCCCAATGCTGACATTTGTTGTGGTTGGGTACCCCCTACAACCCTTCTCGGACTTCGATCTATCGTCCGTGCCGGTACGGCGCATCTACCGCCTGACCCGTTTCAGGGGCAGAGGACATCCACTCACTGCATGACGGAGTAAGCCTGCCCATCTTGGACTAGATAGGTCCTTTCTGGTACGTTGTTCTGTGGGTTTCAGCCTGAGCTAGTAAGGATGCCAAGCCGGAGCTTGTCACCTTCGAAGTTCCGTTCGTGTTCCACGCTTCCTACAGCAGCCTTTTTTTCTTACTGGTGATTTTCCCTAGCTATGAAAATTCCGAAGTCACTGTAAGACAGATGCTCGCGTTAATAAAATTTATATCCAGTTCTCTGCATAGGCATGAGCTTTTAACCGACAGCGTGCCAGTCCGGGTTTCGCCAAATTCTTCACAGTGTGTACCTCTTATCGGAAGAACTTTAAAATCTAACGCATCTATTTCCCTCCTTGATTTTAGCTACTTTCACCATCACTTTTTCTGATAAAAAAATTCGCCAATCGAGCATTATATTCTTCCACAACACCTGAACTAGTAGTTACAGCCACCCCTGCTTTGACCAATGCTCTCTTGGGAGAGTGATGGGTCGATTTCAGGGGCCGGATTCTGTTCAAGCGGAAGTTAAAATGGGGTACCCATGGCTAAGGTATTTTTAGACAGAATGGTATTATCGAACAAAGACAAGGGAGACTGGAATGGCCATTTCTGGCTTATTAGCCGTCGTCAGCCAGTCATACCCAAACTCGAAGTGTGGCACACCCGAGGCTCGAACTCGCAACCTGTTTGTTAGAAGTGCACGCCTCTAACCACTGAGCCACGAGCCCGTTTCCCTGTCGGTTTTCGATCGGGAATATACAATAGTAGGGGGAGCTCACCGATAGTTCTTACGAAACTCACTCGTTCTGTTGTGCCTCATGGACCCTCTCTCGAGCCCAGGCAGCAGCCGCACATCGGCGCATGAGATAGGCAGAACGAGTGAGTTCCTTAAGAACGATCGGTGAGCGCCCCCACCATTAAGGTATTTTTTTCCCTCGTACTATCCACGAGTGTTGGACCAATAGTGCTTGCCTAACTCTTGTAGCCAAATCGCGGCCACGTGTGTGATAAGCCGTCATTCTGCGACGACTGGTAGCAGGTTTGTTCCACTTCTTGCGTGGTAGATTGTGGTAGCACCGCTTTCCGAATAGAAACGTTCGGTAGAACCTCCAGACGAGCATACCCTTGCTGGTGTAAGAGTATCATTCTCTCTATATCAATAAGCGTTTCAATAATCAACAAACGCTATCCTTTTTAATCTACCGCATTCCAGACTGGTTTCGCCGACTTTAAAGAGTTTTACTGAATAAATTACGACGGTGTCAATCAGGCAGGAATCCATATGCTGCATGAGAACAGTTGTCACTAAACGGTCACCTTGTCACCCACAGATAACTTTGGCAGAATTTTGCCGTCTAAGAAAAAGAATGTATAAATTTTATCGGCAGAATGTTTGAGGTTTCATCTCGTCACTTGTTCTCAAGCGAGGATTTGGCTCATCAAAGTGCTGTATAATCTTTCGGCAGGTCAAGGCTCGCTAAGGAGAATAATACTGTTACTAGCTGTTTCACCTCAATAAGATGGAAAAGAGCTCATTAAGCACCAAATCATTCAATTAAATGTCGTAAATATTTCCACGCAACGTTTTCGTAAACGTTATAGAATATCTTGTTTAATATGGCCGGTTAATTAAGAAAGGGTTAGAGTGGACAGTCCTAGAAAACCAGTGGACAAATTTGGTAAATAACCACAATCTAGCACCTGCGCTTTGACTAATTTTCCTTTGGACGAAAACGGAAACCAATTTATGCAGTTTCAAAAAGTGTCCCTCTATGACGAAGCCGTTATGCGCATCCTGCCATCCCCACGAACACGCGTAATGGGCGCGACAAGGCACGGGTGACCATAATCAATTACTGGATGTGGGATGAACGGTAGTCGGAGATTGGGCACAGAGGGAACATGCGATCAGCATACCCAAGATGAGCAAGATACCCCCTTGCTCCCACGAGTTTGCTGCCACATGGAGTTGCCAGATGTCCACAGGGCCAAATTATAAATCCAAACTCAAAGAAAAATTGCGAGGGAAAGAAGTCAAAAACTACATTATGCAAATAAGTGCTCAAAGGACCTTAGGCAACAAAGAAATATCACCTTAAGGAAACAAGCTCCTAAAACAAAACACAAAACATTAACACAAAAGTAATAAATAAGCGGATCAAAGGGAATTAAAGTCAAACACAGGGGCTACGATGAATCACAGGCGGCGGACAGCGTGAGTGAACACCTAACTAGCAGAACTGATTCGTGAGATCAGAAGCGACGTCATAAGTGAGATAGCCATCAGTCCGGGACTCGTCATTCTCGGCTCGTAGAGCGGCTGCGGCGAGGTTGGCCTCCATATCCTCCGGCCCAGGAGAGAGTGGGTCCTGGGTATGGCCGGCCTGGAAGTCCTCCAGACCAGCAACCGATTCTGCCGCAGCCATCAAAAGAGCTGGTGGTGGTGGCTGTGGCGGTGCTGCTGATGGTGAGAGAACAGTATATGGAGGAAAGTGAAAGACTGAATCATCTGCACCCACACCCTGTACCGGATTTAGGCCCTCAGTCAGCTCGTTTACCGCCAGGGTTATTGGTCTGATATCGTCTGATTGGCCAGGAAGCATCGTAAAACCGTCGGGGGCTGTACCTGAGATGTTGACAACCTTCATCTAAAAGAAAGCTTTTAAGGGTTAGAAGGGCGACTTGAACCTTCGTATATTTAACAGTCGAGAAAGTCTCACAATGCGGTGCATCGCTCACATCCTAAATGCATAAGTGCCAAAAACCAAAACAGATCAGTTCTGCACAAATCCAACGCAAGTATATGATAGTGCCGTACTTGAATGAGGGAGCCCTTATGACATAAAGTATTGTCTACGGCATCAACAAGCGACGAATTTAATAATAAAGAAGGGACTACCTTAGAGTGCACAACACTTTCACATCACCCGTCCGGCAAGACAGCACGTAAAAAAACTCGCAACTGGAAGATGGAGTCCTTAAAACTTAAGAGTAGATATATATTTCAATGGCCTTCTGTCCGGAATGCCAAATAAGTAGCATATGAATGCGCCGACCAATATATGTTAATACTGAACAGGTAGGCCAACAAGCGTAACAAAGAACATGCCCAAAATAGCACGAGACTGAATTGCCGATACGGCCCTATTCTAGGATTGGATGCAGGCGATTCCGTATTAAACTGAGACCGATTCAACTCTGACCTGGAGACTCAGTCTGGAACCCTCGCCAAGGAGACTAGAATGATAATTTCTGACTTTTTAACTTTGGTCAGCCAGCCCTGTCCTAACCTCAGGCTGGGAAACTCAAGTCTCAAACTCTGGTCATCTGGTCGGCTAGCACTTCAGTCCGACGTTCTGCCATAGCTGTGGTAGGCGGTGAACGAAACGTGCTACGAGACGGTGACTTGTGATTAGGCGAGTCGGTTTTTGGAAGTGGGAGATTTAAGACATTATTTTTCTAAGAAAGAGGGTTTCGAATGCGCCAATGAGTCGAACACAGTCACCCTTCTACTAATTCCATCAGCGCATTATACTGCAAACTTTTCTATAGACGCCTGATACTAAAAAATTGGTAGCAAACTAAAACGTCTTGGTAAATGACAAAATTAACGATTGTTCGGAGTTGTATGAAACGAGGAACTGAATCCTGCAAGTAATCGGGTTGTGCAGAAAACTTACAAAGTAAGCGAATAAAAGCATAACATATTCTTCGTGGTGGTTGGAAAAAGCACTACGCAGGGAACTTCTGTTCCGTAACAATCCATTTGAAAATCCAGTCGTTGGCATAAATAGATATACATGCGAACGAAAATGACGTGAGATAAACGACAAAGACAAGACGTGTAATCCTTAACTCGGTGGAGCGGGTACCCAAAAGCTTGCACTTGAGCTTGAGGCATAATGCTTTGGGACCCGCTTCAACCGTACGATTTAAACAAATGTGTTGCTTTTGTACTGAAAAAACAAAAAAATATTTGCTGCAAAGCAGGCCGCACAGATCTAAAAAAGAAATTAAATTCGCCAAACAGGGGGTCACTTCTGACTTTTGTGTGTCTGCAAAGTTGTTGCGATGTGTCAGTTCGGATGACGTTCTTTTGTAGGCGCAAGACCAACAAATACGCCGTAGAACTCAAAATATTGCCAAAGCGAGGGGTCTTGGTTTCAGTCTCATCCAAAAATGCCAAAACTTTTTATCAAGGTTTACGACTGCGGCCAGAAAATTTTACTTCGCATTGCTTATTCTGGAGTTGTCTATTAAAGTCAGTAGCTAAGCTGGTCATTTGGAAAAATCGTAGCTCTGCGTATGGCACAATACGTATTTTTAGAACAGCGGACATAATAATTCTTAGCAAATCTTTAAGTGTAAAAGCACTTGCAAAACAAGGACCACGCTCACGTCATCATAGAAGAAGGGCATTGGACAAACTTGGCCATCGGGTCCGACCATTCCAAAGCATTTCTCGTCAAAGACCCCGGGTTGCATGCAAACCTGAGGCGACTCAGTAACCACATCTTCGTTAACAGTAAATGCTGCTCCATCGTAAATGAACTCATTGGAGACCGCGGGGTCGGACTTATAGGTGAACTCAAGTAATTGTGGTTCCAGCATAAGAGAGTCCCCAGTAGCATTCACACAGGCTTGCCCTGGGTTAGTGTAAATGTAATCGCAACTGGCATTTTCAACAGGTGCAATAGGAAAGGGTTGGGCTGGCCTGGCCATCGGGACTAGAGGGTGGATGGCAGTTTCCTCCAGGTTAGTGCACTCAGCGGCGGACTTCTGGAGATTTCGCAACTGCAACAGTATATTTCGGATGATCGTAAATAGAAGAGTAACAATTTAAATATTTATGGTCCGGCAACAACTTAAAGTTTGAACGGAATGTAATTAAAAAAAGGAGGGAGAGTTGCATGGAGTGTCTGTATTTAAAGAAATATCTAGGCAGTTCATATCATAATCCGTTCAAAATATTAAAGAAATACGGGGAAGGTATCTTTCGATTAAAATGTACATTACAAACACTTATCAAGTTAAATGAATAATATAAGTATTATTAACAAGCAGGTATATTATACGACACAAAAAATGACAATTAGAACGGTTGAGCATATCCGAAGGGTGCCAGGAAGTTAGTCGAAAGTATCCGCATAAAAGAAACGTTATGCGCTCACCAACCATATGAAAGTCAGAATAGCACATACAGTGTTGCGTCAGAAGTTAAGTTGATTATACATGTTAACAAGCATTCCAGTGCACATCGCATAGGACCAAGCCGTAGGATGTCCTTCCATGGAAAACCCTACACAGTACGCTTCCGTCATCGTGGCAGACAATTTGAACAACTCCATCAGACATACAGTGCGTGACCGATCTCATGAAATGTTGACCGAAATTCTGAACTTCGTTTTCGATTAGGAAGGGTTACTTAGGTGGGCTTGTAATAGTGATTAGCGTGCGGCATAATCCTATAGCATTTCGGACTCGCCATGATGCCGGCTTTTGGATGCACTCTTTCTTGACCTCCTACAGAAACCGTACACTGTAAAGAATGCCTTTTAATGTAGCATTCATTTTTCCAATGGATTTTCGATGGTCTTATAAATTCAAATATATTTTATAGAAAACGTGCACAAAATAATCTTTCTTTTACTCATTTGGCAGAAAATAACATTTTCTTTGCAGTTAAAGCACGAAGAAAGTGTGTATTAAGGTTTTAAAAAAGCTTCTAATTGTGAGATTTTTAAGACCGTGCGATGTCTATGCATACAGGACAGCACATGTTCGTTTACCACTGCTCATCATGAAATATACAACACAGTTCGGATCCGTTGAGAAATTTTATGAAGCTTATGTGACATCTTCCTAAAGGCATGGAGGAATATATGATTTTCCTTACGCGGAATGCATGCACCTTGTTGACTGAAATCGCTGAGCACTGATGCAATGCAGATCAGGCCCAAAAATATCCGAGAATTGCGAAAATTTTTTTGAAACCTAAAAATACACTTTCTTCGTGCTTTAAATGCAAAGAAAATGTTATTTTCTGTCAAATGAGTAAAAGAAAGATTATTTTGTGCACGTTTTCTATAAAATATATTTGAATTTATAAGACCATCGAAAATCCATTGAAAAAATGAATGCTACATTAAAAGTCATTTTTTACAGTGTACGGTTTCTGTAGGAGGTCAAGAAAGAGTGCATCCAAAAGCCGGCATCATGGCGAGTCCGAAATGCTATAGGATTATGCCGCACGCTAATCACTATTACAAGCCCGCCTAAGTAACCCTTCCTAATCGAAATCGAAGTTCAGAATTTCGGCCAACATTTCATGAGATCGGTCACGCACTGTATATTCGAGCTGTAAAATGTGCGCACTGTGAGGCACTCAGTGTTGATTACATTCAAAGTGAGGATGTTCAAATATCCAACAGGTTCCTCAGGACCCTAGTTTCTAGTACTAGCTAAGATTATACCACATCCCCTGAGAGAAGCGTAAATATGTTCGATAACTCAAACGCTCGACTATAACCCACTTTGTTTAGATGTGCATTAAAAAATTGATGGACGGCAGCAGATATTTAATGTAAAGATCTCTTGAGCATTAGTCACATATCGGCTTAAAAGGATGGCAAATAACAGGGTTCGTTCCTAAACGCTCCTTTTTATATTTTTACAGAACAGTTACCAACTGCTCGAGACTTAAGTTCAGATAACTTGTCCCAATCTTATATACGGACTTGCATGTTTTTCGTTTGTTTCAAACGTGTTTCAGAAAAAAAGAATTAACCAAAGGTAGTTGAGGAAGCCTTTGACGTCAATAAGTGCGGAAATTTTAAATAAATATTGCCAATCAATTTTAACCTCCTTCGTATTTTAAAGTGCTGTTCAGCGGGTCTGACCATAAAAATTTTGTTTTCGGAAAACACAATTTTTGGCCTCTGTCTTTTAGAGCGCTTCCTTTTCTTTATTCTCCTTTGAAGGCTGTAATCTAACATATTTCGGTAATGTAGACCGTCTCCAACATCTCTATAAAGGTGGAAATGAATTCTGAAACTAATGATCTAGGTCATCTGCCCATATTTATTGTTGAAATAACCGAGAACGCCGGAAGAAACAGAAATGGGCACAAATACTTTCAAAATATTTTTGTTACCAGAACGCGAATAATAGAAAATATAAACCAATTTCCATAAAATCTTAGCAAATAAGACTTCGAAGCTGCCCTAGAAAACCCTGAACGTCACCATTACAGACCATACACTAGAGATAAGTAGGACTACATAACGGTAAACCTCTCACATTCTGTCATTCGGAACTCCTAAGCATTGTAGCTATTTACGATAGCAAGCTATATTCCACACAGAGCTTTAACAGGCAGATGCTGCTGGGGGGGGGGGGGGAATGGGACCAAGATGTCCATTCTGACGGTACAGGGGACCCGTATCCAAATCTTTTATTAACGGAGTACTAGCTATGAGTCTGTATCATCGAATCGTAGAGTGTACGACCGCCTGCAAAGAGCAGCTGAAATGTTCGTATTTCATCCAACAAAAAGGTGAAAAAATGAGAATAATTTCCACGAAGAGGTGAAGAAAGTGAGAGAAAAATGAATTCCATTAAGATATGAAAACCTGCTCATTAGCTTATCAGTTAAATACTTCAAAAGTGCAGCAAAATGCCACTATACGACGATATCTCAAGGAAATTTCTATGATAAAAATTTTAAAGAGAAATCTCCTGAGAACAGTGTAGGGCAAAATGCCTAGATATCATGTAATTTTTCACATATTTTGTAAACTTCTCGACCCCAGTAAGACAAAGATTATTATAACGGATTTCCGACATCATTGTCCTAAATCTTAACAGCCATTCTTGTTTTTTTTATAAAAAGCTGTCTGAATATCCATAGTCGCCTGTGCTACGGGGCCTGGTGGAATACGTAGTTTCTTTCAAAAACGCAAATACCTTAAATTTTAAAGTGGCCGATAAAATATAAAAAGAGATAATCCAAGCAACTTCATTCTGCCCCTAGAATTCTATGCAAATTGGTGTATAAAGGCGGAAATAAAAAAGCGTTGTGAAGACACGATGCAATACAATAATAAGTTTTTAGCGATCCCGTCAGTGTAATGAGCATCCTATGCATAAAACTAATTGGGGTACTGTAAAATTTAAAAAAATAGGATGAGCAAGAGCCTACACTTTGAAATCATAACTTATAAAATAATTTTATTTGATAATCTTAGGGATGTTCTGTTATAATCGCGTCTCCAAAACTATCATGTTCAACTACTCTTCAATGAATGATGAACATGTCGAGGCCTTGCAGAAAAGATTTTGCATAAAAATCCCACTTCGCAACGAATCACATTCTGGCAGAAGATGCACATAAAATAAAACTTTGCTTTAGTAATGAATAGCAACGAAAGACAGAAATATAAGCAAATTCTACAATGAAAACCTGTAATTGCCGGAGGCAATCTTGCAGAACTCTCTCGCATTTTAGGCTGCAAACCGAATTATATAAAGCCAGCTGTTATGATGATCTAAATGCAATTATTTTATTATTTTGGGAGCTTTTTACAGCAATATGCTTTTTACCAGCTACTAGTAAAAATAGGAAAATTAAAACTTTAAATTTAGCATACATCGAAAAACAGTACCTGCGAGCTGTTTTTCGTTATTCAGTCAGCGCCAAATCGATGTTGAACTCTGTCCCCAAAAATGCATTCAAAGGATCGGAGCATTTTTAAAATTTACTTCTGATTTAAGCAACTCCGGCTCGTCAAGCACTTTTAGTCATGTTTTATGGCTGATCAGTAAATGTTAAATATTTTGCAGCCAGTTTTCAACGGCCAAAGGCGAAAAGTCCAAGAAGCACTGTGGCCAAAGCCCTCAGCGTGTTTAAATGTTATGCAAGAGGCAACTCTGTCCGTATGTTTAAGTTTTGTGTGTCTTACTACTCCTCAAAGCTTTCGACGCCGCTCAGTCTCCTAGACTTTCTGTTCCATAGGAATCTTTTGACAGTGCCTATGACTTAATCTGATCTAAGCCTCGACGGAAATCAATCGTTCATCGCGTTAGAATCACTTAACCATATCTAGCAACGAAGTCAAGTATATCAAGCGCGATATGCACTTACAACGCAAAAAATAAGATGTTATAATGCTATAAGCTAAAATCAAGACAGTTGTGATGTGCGGTTAAAAACGGTGATGCAAAACTTCTTTTCGAAACGTCATCCTTTGAGTTTAAGAAAAAGACCTGTATTAATTAACTTATAACTAGTTCAGAAAGATGCATCATACAAACGGTCATTACTCATAGCAAGACTGTAAGTAAGACCAATGCTCGGTTACAACTTCCGAAAATTACGATCTACTTACTTTGTCCACCGATTCAAGGATGTGGTCAAGACAGCGGGCAAATTCGGCCAAAACCGCGTGTTCCTTGGCAACACTAGACTCATTTTTCTCCTCAGCTTCATAAAGCTGAGCCAGCATACATGAGCAAGAAACTTCGATAACTTCCGGTGTGATACAAGCGTTAAATAATCTGTGCTCATTGTTTACGAATAAGAGCAGCTTACGGTTGCATATTGCTTACTGAAGTGTGGTCGGAGCTTTGCGGAAAGGACATATCGAAAGGCTGCTTGTTTCTTCCATCAAGCAACACTTGCCTTAAGGAACAGGCTAAAACATTATTACTGAACATTTCTTACTTTAACGCACCCTTTCGACCATTAGACTTGCTGAAGACGGCCTGAGGCATATTTTGTCGTGAGAATTCGTCAAAATTCCTGCACCCTTGACATCTACAAAGGTCAGAGCAGCTGATTTTAGCCTAAAGCGTGAGATAAATGTGTGATTTCGTGCCTCGTAACATTCGCAGTAATTTTTAAGACAATTCGATCGTTTGCAGTTACATCCCTTTGAATGTTTTCTTTCGGAGGATCCTAAAAGCCTCGAATAAAAAAATCAGATCACCTATTTTTGGATAGAACGCGAAGGGATTTCTTTCCAATGTCAACTTTATTGCTTTATTTCGCTCATTTTCGAAGAGGATATTATTCATACAATTTGAACAGTTACAACCATTGCATGGCTGGCCCCTTGCAAAGCATTCACAGTAAAGCTTTAAACAGTGCGATTTAGCGCAGTTGCAGGCTTTTCGGCCATTTTTATGTTGCTGGATGGATAATGTTTGTTGCTGGTAGAGGTCAGCTTCATTGAAAGCGGTGTCTTTGCCTGTGGAATCTAAATCAATCAACGCCTGTATAACTGCGGCCTGAGTCCGACAGTCAATCTGATAGGTCTTAGGGTCTTTTTGAAATTCTTGAGCGTCGGAAGGGCCTTCGCAAACTGGGAATGGGTTTTGGTTGGTGACCTGCTCAATATCTGCCCCATCAACATACATTTTCAGCAAAGTATTAAACCTCGCTCTGTAGGCAGTTAACGCGCCTAACGATATAAACAAATTATGATTATCTGCGGCCCCGGCATTTCACAGTTTTATCCCTCTGACAGAGAATAAGGACTTCCGCACATCTAATCTTGCTCGCCGAATGCGCAGTTCTAATGTATGCCGTATTTGAAATGTGGCCTCACGAATATCCCGACGATCTTGGAGACAAGACGTTCATTTGAATTGACGAGTACTCGCTTGAGGACGTACAACACGGATATTACGCTTTTTGCCAATTTGGGACAATGAGTGGATGAGTGTGGAGTTCGTCGTCGGCACACAGATGTTTTTTTGCGCCTCCGCGTCTCCTAAAGTTGCGTCGCCGAGAAAATAGTTTCTTGCGCTGGTGGATTTGGCTGGGCTGGCTAGACGATATATGGCACGCCTGCCGGCGTTTAACTGCATGAGTCAACGATTTGACCACTCCTTCAACCAATTTAGGTTCATCTCTATTCCTCTGCCGGCAGGACCCCGGACAGCACTTCATCTCTTCTATATTGCTAATGTACATTGCTACTTGCTGCCCAAGTCTCTTGCATAATCGTTCACATATATAATTACCAAAATGGGCAGCAGTACTGAACGCTGGTAAACACCAATCTAGACCACAACAGGACCTGATTTCTCTTCGCCGTTGCACTCAAAATGGCGCCGACCCACAAGGACGTTGTCGATCAATTTGAGGAAGTTACCGGTGCTCCTCATTCTTCACAGCTTGTGAAATAGTCTCTGGTTTACCACGGTGTCGAAGGTCTTTGGAAGTCACTGAAAGCGATGTGAACCGCGTAAATGTTGTCGAGAGCTCGGGTCCGACTCTGGAGAGATTGCGGCCAATTTGTCTTTAGGATCTTCCTTGATAGAATCCGTGTTGGCAGGTTTATAGCAAGTTGTGATCTTCTACGAACTGCAGCTATTCGCTCCCTATCGTCCGCTCTATATCTATGCTGCGAATAAATAAATAAATAAATTGTCTCACTAACACTTCTGGGGGTGCTGTCATAGCAAGTAATGTAGATTGTCTAGTGAATTTTAAAATAAGTAGGCAGATACCATACAGTGTTCAGCTCGTGCTAACATAATAGGCAGTCTGATATGACAAAAAAACAACTTTCCAACAGAGGAAAAGATCTTTTTTCGAGAAGGACAAAATAAATGCGATTTGATTAGTTTTTAAGGAGAAAAACCCGTCCCTCATGAAAAGTTAAATATGCGGGTTAGACAGAACCGTCCTGCACGTGGTAGCAGCAGAAGCAACCGTCGAGGTGGACAGACGCGAGGAAACCAGACGCGATTGGTTATAGTCTACTTAGAATCCAGCCGAGTGAGCATTAAAGGCGGAGGTGATCATCAAAGCGTGGGAAGTGCGATCATGACACTTTATTTCAGACGGACCAAAATACTAGGAGATGGCGAGAACAGAGGATTTCGTCGTGATCGTCAATTGGACTCGAAATTAGGTGGCATCAGAAACCGCAAAGATTTTCGCTGCAGAGAACGATTAATAACAGTGGGTTCAGTAGCCAATTAAAATAGAAGAATGTCGGAAAATAACTGAGACTTTCCACTTAAGCAAGCAAAGCATTTATTATCTATTTATAAGTTCAAGGAGGATCATTTTTAAAGTCCACAATTCGTGCGTTCGGGAATAAAACGGCCAGTTGTGATTTTATGCTTTTCGCTGTAAGCTGCTTATGTAAATTCGATTTGAATACCGATAACTGAGGCAATGTCCTAAATTTTAGCGGAGGATTATTCCAAAGAAAGGCATATTTGGATACAAAAAGGAGGGTCGCTTAGGTGTTGAGCAAAGGCGCGACGGAATCACCATGAGGGAATCACGCGTGATATAAGACCTGCCTCACGAAGTGAGATTGTAAATGCGCGGGAGATTTGAGCCAGAGCTAATGAGAAACGGGAAGCACATGTCTGCTTCGAGTCTCCTAATTCATAGAAAGTTAACAAATAAACTGTTTTATTAAGTACGACTGGGGGTACTATTATAGTTCTTCTTATCTTGGTACAATAAATGGCAGATGCAGCCTGAAGGAATAGTTTTCGAGTAAAAACCGTCTGAACATTTTCGAATTTGTTACGATCACAGGCGTTCATTAAACTAAAGAAAGAATAGCAATACTCGAGGACGCGAAGAACAAAAATTGCATGTCAGGTTTATGAACCTGTCATTCCTTATCTAAACCCTGCTGCCGCCGTTGTATAGGGGTGCTATTTGCCCCAGCTTTCAATCCATAGAGCGAATCCCAGTGCCAAATAACACCTGAAAGTGCATCAATAGAGGCATAAAAGTCATTAGAAAGTCCTTCGCGAAGCTTGAGTGAAATGTCATCTGTTTCTGTAGACTTCGATTCGTCCGATGTCTTTTCTTCTCTTCGAATAAGAGATAATGAACAGAGTGCATTGCTTATGCATGAAGTCGACAGATCTACTGTGGCAGGAAGAAGGAACCTTGCTTCATCTGTGTAGACCGATTGGTAAGTTGTGAAAAATACGCAACCTTATTCTGTTTTCAGCTATTTGGACGCTATTAAAAGCCTTTATTGAGGTGGTTTGACGTCTTTTCCTTGTACTTGTTCGTAGGTAGCTATAGAGTAATTTCGGGTTCTGCTTTGACTTTGCAGCAAATTCTGTGCCTGTATCTCTGTGTTTTCTAGTTGTTGAAATATTCAACTTTCCTGGTGACGGAGCATTTTCTCCACAATTTATTTAGGTTGATAGTTAAACGCCCAGACCGCTTATTCCACTTTATACTCCTCAGTTGGCACTGGTTGTTAATAAGCTGCAAAAGGGGATTCTTGATTAACTCCCAATCCTCGTTGGCATTGCACACAAACAAAGAGATTAAATCGAGAAAAGATAAGTCTGCCCCAGTCTGGTTGAAGTCGCCCCGCCAAATTTCACATCTTTTTGTCAAGAGTGTGCAAGACGGTGAATAAGCAATAATTCTTTTTAAGCAATACATGATCAGTTCGCTCGAGCGGGACATGGAGATGAACATGTGTGTACCGTCTGATGTTTTCACAAATACTAAATACAGACAGTAAACCCTTTGTCTTTTAACGTGTTCTGGTTGGAAGCCTTACAAGTTTTGTGAAAAGCATCTTCCATTTGTCTCGCGTAGCATACAGTATTCCTAGGGTGATTTTGAACCTGACGCATGAGCAGTGTTCCAGTTATTTTCTGGTGTGCTGAAGTCACCCATGATCCTGAAGATAGATTGACTGGAGAATTTATGCAACTGCTCGAGTGGCTGAGTGTTGGCGATGTTGTCCGTCCTACGTGGTCGTCCCACAGAGAGGGCGTTGAGACACGGTGAGCCAGTAGTCTTGATAGTCGACCAGATAGCTTCCATACGCGCACTTGATGATCTTCCCCGACACCACCGGGACTTCTTACACACAAACCATTATGCCGCCGCCCTGGCGGTGTCCCCTTTTCCTACACTCTGTTTGTTATCCAGTCAATACGAATTTGTTATCCCTATTATTCCCGTACATCCAAGTATTGGTAACTGTTACAACATCTACAAACAGTTTGCTAAGGCAAATTTTTGACCAATCAAGTTTTGATAAGAGACTTTAGGTATTTGTGTACAAGCAGCCCAGTTTTGTGCCAGTCTTAATTCCAGTTGTGTTCGCCATTGTTCCGGGTATTACTGTGTTGCTAAGGGTGTCATTTTATCTGGCCTGTTCGGCCGCTTGATGGGTTTCGTTAGCTTTAGTTACTTTGATCGAAACAGTGGGTGTTAATGCCTTAATTCTTCAGTCGCTTCAAGCGGCCGCTTCCACGATGGTGTCTGCGTCAGCTGAGTAGCTGCCGCCGCCATTGGTGTTATTGGCTAATTCAAATAAAATATTAGGTTTTTCCGTGCTACTTTCCCCTGAAGAGAGCCAGGTGGTGTTCGCCACCCACGAGTCCCGATTTTAATTCCGAGGTAAATTTCCGGCGTTTTAGCCGTTCATTTGGTGTGTAGTCCTGTAGAAATCAACCTGCTTATGCGAGTTCCTGAGGTAGGATTTTTTTA